GTTCTGTTATTAACAAGACACAGAGGAAGCTCTGTCACTGGCACTGATGGCACACTGATGGCATCTTACAACCCTAAGTGGAGACAAATCTTTGTTATTTAAAGGTAACCTGAAACATAAACAGGTAAGAATACCCATCATGGTTGGTTTGCCATTTTCCTGTATTTTTAGGAGAATACAAAAAGTGGTAAAGAGGTTATTCTTCGGAACAGCAGCTCCTAAGTATTTTTCAGAACACATCTGAGAACGTTAAGCTTTCTGAATGACAGAAATTTAAGGAGCACAGAGGTGGCTGTTTGGACAGAGGTTCCCTGAGCGAAGAGCTCTGGAGTGAACATGAGGGAGGGGGCTCAGGTACGCTGGCACTGGCATTTTTAAAGGTCCGGCTGAAGCTCCTGGAATGGTGTTAATTCTCCCCATTGTTCCGGTGGCCAGATTTTCCAAATTTACCACCATCATCCAGACGCGTCAGGAAGGGTTTTAGGTTTGGCCATCTTCCCTTTGGCAGCAGGACTGAGCTCCTGACTCCTTTCTAGCCTCCCTCATGACCCCTCCCATTTTGTGCAGGTGTTTCCACACGCTCCATCCGATGCTTCCTGGTGAGCGATGGTGGGGCTTTCGTTTACATCTGTTCCAGGGAAGGAAACAGTCCTTGATTTCAGAATGTGCTCAAATGGGTTGCTGCTTAACCGCTTCTTACCTTATTAAATGAAAGTGCCCTTCTAACAGACCGAAATATTCTTCCAACTTACTACACCTTAGGACTCATAGACAGAAGAGTGATCTTTGATATGCTCATTACAAGTTCCAAGTCACTCGCTGGACTGTGCCTTAACGTAGTGGTCATGACCTTGAATGTCAGTTTAAGTTCTCTGAGAGCCGGTTTCTCAGCATGTATACTGGGAGTCAAAATAGTATATCCCACAGAGAATTTTATTGGAAAAGGGTTGGGAAGAGACAAATGCTATGTAAATAGTGATAATTATCATTTTTCACTGAATCTCAAGAGACATGATGAACCCTGGACATGGTTTGGTTGCTGTCAATGTTAATACACCAATTTCTTTTCTCTGAAAAGCCACCTAAAAGGACAGACTATTCGGGCAGTTTTTAGGCTAAATTGTGCCAATCTCCTCAGCGCCCTGGGGCCTGCTCCTGCAGTGAGACCTGAGGGCTCCAGTTCCTCAATAAGAAAAAGCACGCACGAGTCACTAAGAATATAGGTAAGGTTTTATGTTATATTTATTTATTTTCCAGCTTGTACAAACTGGATGTAAAAGCATAAACATAGTACATTTCTACCATTTTCAACAAAAATATAACCAATATGTACAATTATTGTATTAAAAATACAAAAGGGATACAGACTCCACCAATGTCTTTCTAAAAGACATACAGGGACAAGTAGTATCAAAAGTACGAGGAGATGACCAGTTAACTGTACAGTCTGCACTTGACATCACGGAGCGAACTGAGCTTACAGTCCTAGGTTCTACGATTACTGGATGCTTAGGTAACGTTTGTGCAACTTATGGAAGAGCCAGGTTTCTGTCTTTCTATCTGCACATGAGGTCCACAGCCTACGTAAGGAAAGAGGCCAGCGATGCCTATTACACGTGAGATTACAAATGCGTAACTGACGACGTGGCAGGTGAGCAGGTCGACGAATGCCATGATACAGAAGAGAATTATTAAATAAAGCACTGACGAGTGTTGGATACAGTGAAAAAACACTGCAATTCGACTTTTACAATCGGAAGCTATTTACGTTTATCTACTGATCAATATGATCAGCTGAATTTAATGGGGAAAAAAAATCCAAGACCAGCAGTTCCTCACATTTGAGTACTACTCGGATTGGCAGCCTTCACTTTTCCGGAGTCTGTGCAAAAACAACAAAAGATAGAGAGGAGGGGTGACTTCGGTCGTTGGCGTGGGGTGAATAGCAGCTGTGAGCGGGCGGCTGCCACTGAGGCCTTCGCTGTCTCAGCGTCCAGAAAGCCACTCACAGGTTAGTCTTTGGTGACTAACCCACCTCGCGAAGGCTGGCGTCTCTTACCAAGCGTTTGAGCTTCTGATCTTTCTCTTGTTAAAGGTGTCCATTCCGAACCAGGAGGCCGTCCCCTAAGAGCAGCGTTGACAGCTGGCGTCCGCACGGCATCCCAGCCGCTTTCACTGCCATGCTCTCCAGTTATCAACGTTTCTCTTTAGAAACAAACAAAAGAGTCCCTAAAACTAAATCAACAGAAAGCAAAGGAACATAATTTAAAAGACGTGGGGTCGGCCGTCCCTCTAGATGGCACAGGATGCGCCCTCAAGTGACACCGCCCCGCGCTCCGTAAGGCTCAGACACGGGACAACGGAGTCCCAGCTCCCTCCCCGGGCCATGTGCAAACAGTGTGCCGGCAGGTGGGCCCCGGCCGCTGGGGAAGGGGTGGACCGGACCCCGGGATCTAAGGGACTGGCTAACACCTCCTGCTTCAAGGACAGGGCACTTGCCGGGCACAGCCACCGGGACCCAGGAAGATGGGCTGTAGGCCGGGTCTTCCTTGCTCTGGGGGTTGGGGTGGGGACCACACCCTGCCAGGCATATTTGGTTTTTCAGTCACCGGCCTGGACTGGCAACCCTACTTAAAGGTTCAAAATAATACTGCAATCAGATGGATATAACATTTACTCTCTGAACATAATCTTTAAACTCATTAAAAAAAAAAAAGAGGACATTGTAAACAAGTGGACGAGCATGGTTCTCAAAGGATGTCACTGTGTCTCTGTCTTCCTTGGAGGGTTAAAGGCCCTCAGTGTCCGGTGGCTCGCCGTTCTCATGATGCCAATGCAACCACGTGCTAGGACTGGATTGAAATCTGAGAGGAAGACGCTCCGGGTCTTTCTGGCGCGGAGACGCTGTCGGAGTTGGGATGTCGGAGTCTGTGGGGCGCGGCAGGCGGGAGCTCGGAGACCGCGGCGCTGTGCATTCAAGCAACAAAGTCGGAAAAGTGCCAGGGCGGTTTCTTCACAGTATTTCACATGCAAAGGGGACAGTACGAGGGGGGAAGAAGCCCCATGCTGCTTTTAAGGCAGGGAAGGAGGCAAACTGGTCCACCGTCCTCGGAGTGTGAGTCCCACGGCCGCGACGCCGGGGCGTCTTCCTGCCCTCCCCTTCGGGCGGCGGCTCCGGGCCCGGAGACGACCGAGCCTCAAACAGCAGACACTTGCTCATCTTCTGCCAACGTAACCGCGGAAGGAAAAAGAAAAGAAAAGAAACTCAATGAGCGAGCACATCGGTTCTTGTGCTTAGAGAGAACACAACCCTGATGCACTATATAAAAATACTATTTTTTTTTTACTACAGGTCACTTAAAATCTTCTTTTTTCCTACATAATGATTAGTAACAATAAAAAAATACAGATGGATCACATCTTCAAATATATATACCTTGTATATTTACTGATTGGAAATGTATTAATGATAAATTCTCTGAAAAAAAGTTATAAAACAGCCTGTTACTTTTTAATAATATATACTGCATACACATAAAAAAGTCTGGGAGTGGGGAAGGTATAGCTCCGAGGTAGAGCACGTGCTTAGCATGCACCAGGTCCTGGGTTCAACCCCCAGTACCTCCATTTAAAAAAAAAAAAAAAAGATTAAAAGGGGTAGGGAAAAAAAGTCTAGAAGGATATGTAACACAACGTTAACAGGGTTAGCCTGCAAGCGGCAGGATTCTACGTAATTTTCATTGTGTTTGCTTTTTTCTACAATGATTATTTGCATTATAAAACATGTTAAACCTAAAACAGGAAGTGGGGTCGGGGCAGCATGGCTCCCGCTGCTCCCAGCACGGCCATCTCGGCCAGAGGAGGCAAAAATGTTAGAGAGGAGCGGATTTCTTTATCGGCGCTTCGCTGGGAACTACTAAGCCTGCAACACGGCATTTCCACAGAGAGCCGAGAACGAGGGGTAAACCCAGCCACGCACACCCTCGGCTACAAGTGACCCCTCTGCGGCCTTGAGTTCTTTCCTGCGCCGCAGAGGACCAAGCAAAACGAAACCCCTCGGACAGAAGAGCGGGCCACGACTGCAACCCCGAACCTGGCCCCCGACCCCCGAGGGACCCCCAAGGGCGCAGAGGCCACGGGGAAAGGGCATGTACCGTCCTCCTCAGCGGAGAAGC